GCCTGCTTCTCCCTCTGACCCTCCCCCCTCTCATGTGCTCTCTGTCTCTCTCATTCTCTCTGTCTCAAATAAATAAAATCTTTAAAAAAATAAAAAATATTCATCTAGAACTAATGATGTAATGTATGGGGATTAACATAAGAATAAAAAATAAATAAAAAAAATAAAAAAATAAATAAAATGGGTAGAGGACCTGAATAGACATTTTTCCAAAGAAGACATACAAATGGCAAACATACACATGAAAAGATGCTCAACATCATTCATCATCAGGGAAATGCAAATCAAAACCACAATGAGATATCACTTTATACTTTTCAGAATGGCTAGAATAAAAAAAGACAACAACTGTTGGCAAGGATGTGGAGAAAAAGGAACCCTTGTGCAACTGGTGGTGGGAATGTAAATTGCTGCAGCAACTATGGAAAACAGTATGAAGATTCCTCAAAAAATTAAAAATAGAACTACCACATGATCCAGTAATTCCACTAATGGATATTTACCCAGAGAAAACAGAAACATTAATTTGAAAACATATATGCACCTCTATGTTTGTTGCAGCATTATATATAATAGCCAAGATATGGAAACAACCCAAGTATCCATCAATATATGGATGCATAAAGTAAATGTGGTATGTGTGTGTATATGTATATATATACATATATATATGATGGAATATTACTTAGCAATAAAAAAGAAGGAGATTTTTGCCATTTGTGACAAATGGATGGACCTGGAGGGTGTTATACTGAGTGAAATAAGTCAGACAGAGATAGGCAAATACTATATGATTTCACTTATATGTGAAATCTAAAAAACAAAAACAAACAACTGATGGTTGCTGAAGGGGACAGGGGTGGGAGGATGGGCAAAATGGGTCAAGGGGAGTGGGAGATACGGGCTTCCATTATGTAATGAATAAGTCATGGGAATAAAAAGTACAGCATAGGGAATATAGTCAATGGTGTTGTGATAGTGTTGCATGATGACAGTTGGTAGATGCACTTGTGGTGAGCTTGTCAAATCACGAGGTGTATACCTGAAACTAATGGAACATGTGTGTCAACTGTACTTCAATAGAAAAGTTTTAAATTATTTGCCCTGATGGTATGAAGAAACAGGCTAAGTCAGCAATAGAGACAACTAAATTATGCTTTGTGAATTTAAAGGGGGGAATTACAAAATAGTAGTAAAGTTTATCTTATTTTAATAAAATCTATCATTACAGCTTCTTTTTATTTTTTTAAAGATTTTATTTATTTGAGAGAGAGAGTGAGTGCGAGAGAGCATGAGCTGGGGAGAGGGTCAGAGGGAGAGGGAGAAGCAGACTCCCCACCGAGCAGGGAACCCGATGCGGGTCTCTATCCTGGGATTCTGGGATCATAACCTGACGCTTAACTGACTGAGCCACCCAGGCGCCCCATTACAGCTTCTTCTTAAATTACAAATCTGATTGGCAATCGTCTGCTTAAAAATCCCCCATGGTTCCCCACTGCTCATTAGATCAAGCTCAGATCATTACCCAGGCCACAAAATTGGACTTGGTCTGGTTCCAACCAGATGTCGGAATCCCCCCAATTTCTACCTGATCTGTTTGTTCCCTGCACTTATGCTCCAGCCGCACAGAACTTTAAACAGTTTTCCGAACAGACCCTGTTATGAATTTTCTTTTTTTTCGTATTATAAAAGGAAAACATGATCCATCAGAAAATGCTGAAAAGAAAAAAACCTGAAGTCATTTCCATAATCTCAACACAGTTTACAAAGTGGTGTTGTACTCTGAAAATGAAGAAATGGATGGGGCGCCTGGGTGGCTCAGTCATTAAGCGTCTGCCTTCGGCTGAGGTCGTGGTCCCAAGGTCCTGGGATTGAGCCCCATGTAGGGCTCCCTCCTCGGCAGGAGGCCTGCTTCTCCCTCCTTACTGCCCCCTGCTTCTCCCTCCCTACTGCCCCCTGCTTGTGTTCCCTCTCTCCCTGTGTCTCTCTCTGTCAAATAAATAAAATCTTAAAAAAAAAAAAAAATGCAGAAATGGAGACACAAGCCAAGGAATGTAGGCAGCTTCTAGACTCTCTGCAGGGGCTCCAGAAGGAACAGTCCTGCTGATACCTCGATTATAGCCCTAGTGAAACCCATTCTGACCTCTAGACTGTAATACAATAAAGCTGTGTTTTCTTAAGTCATGAAGTTTGTTACAGCAGCAACAGGAAACTAATATCATACCTTATAAAATTTAAGACAGCAGAAGAGCATAGTATATGCCTATTTTAAAATGTATTTTGGCACTAAAGTCCAATGCTTTTATTCGGCCCCATAGTTTTTGAGAAACTGTATTTGGGAAGTTTCCCAATGCTATAGAAATTTTACAGGTAGTATTTTATGATAACCTTGGGTTATAAGTTAAAAATAAAAGTTGATTATATAATGAAGCTGCACAATAAGAGATGTGCTATCAATGAGGGTAGGAACCATATTGATTTTGTTCACTACTGATATTTAATATTTATAGAGTGCTGGGCATATGGCAAGTACTCAGTAAATGTGCATGGAATGAACTGAATGAGTGAAATCAGATTCTTAAACATTCTTCTAAGAGAAGCTACATGAATACTCATCATGCATAGGTAATTATCACGCTATTTTGATTAGTACGTGTACTAAAAGTGGGCTTTTCTCTATTGCCAGTAATGTAGGTGAATTCAAGCTCTGGACTTTTTTTTGTGATACATGCATATGAAAGAATACATAATGAAAAGAAGTGGTAGTAAAGAAATATTCATTGGTGAAAGAATAAACCCTTCAAAAGGGCATTTATTAACAAGAGTTCTAGAGCTCAGCAGTTTTTCTGAAGCTGTGAGCTCTGCTTCTTTGGCAAGGTATATCCATTTATCATTTCAGCCATTTACCACCGTTGAAGCAGTTTACAGCAGAAACATTCTGTGGTAGGTTCACTGAGTGGGCCAGTGTCTCTTCTTTTCAGGTGGATGAGCTCAAGAGCTAAAAAACAGATTATGTCTTCCAGATAATTGCCACTCCAACACCCCATTGACTACTTACAGAACCTTGTTTTCAGGTCAATAGCATGAGTGAACTCAAATAAAGCTGTTTGAGAAGGGGCACTTTTCTGAGACTTTTATTAAATAGAATATAATGGAGAATCAATAAGTAAACAAACAAACAAAAAGAGATTTACCCATAAAAGATGTTACAAAATCCACAGATAGTCATCCATTTCCTCCTAATTTTAGACCTAACACCAAATTTACTTACCTGGTTTCCGGCACAGATAAGAAGTAGTGAATCAGCAGCAGCAAAATGGCACTGCATGGGCTAACAAGAAAATAGCACAAAAAGAAGTTGTATGAAGCCGTAAAGTATCACCATCAGGAGACCCCAGGAGATTATAGTAAAATTACCGGTGTAGAGGCCTCTGGGTGGCGCAGCCCGTTAAGCGTCGGACTCTTGGTTTCAGCTCAGATGGTGGTCTTGGGGTCTTGGGGTTGTGGGATCGAGTTCCATGTTAGCTGTGAGCTCAGTGAGGAGCCCGCTTGTCCCTCCCCCTCCCCCTCTAGTCTCCCCCTTATTTATCTCAATAAATAAATAAATAAATCTTAAAAAAAATTACCAGTGTAGCATAATGATTTGGGAAACTGATTCCATTTCAGCAGATTTGGTTCAAATATCAGCTTTACTACTTACTAACTGGTGACCTCAGTTTCCCCATCCATACAACAGAGACAGTAAGAGTAGTTACCACATAGTGAAAAGGATCAAACTACACACAAGTAAAAAAAAATGTGTTTGGATATGGTAAGTGTTAAGTAAATTTTATGTTTTTCTTTTATTAATTTTATTATCATTATTGCCACTTATAAATCATGTAATCTTAGGAAAGTTACTCAGTCTCCCTGGAACTTAGTACCCTGCCTTACCGCACATGGTTGTAACAAAAATATATGTATAGGGGCGCCTGGCTGGCTCAGTCAGTAGAGCCTGTGAACCTCCATCTTGGGGTCATAAATTCAAGTTCCACACTGGGCATAGAGATTACTAAAAAAAAAAAATTAAAAATTAAAAATTTTTTAAAAAGGAAATGTACATGGAAGCCATTTTTAAGCTGTCAAATAATAAATACGTGTATTTTAAGATTTTATTTACTTATTTATTTATTTGAGAGAGAGGGAGACAGAGAGCACATGTGTGCTGGGGGTGGTGGTGGGGAGGAACAGAGCGGGAGGGAGAGGGACAAGCAGACTCGGATCCTAACAGGGGGCTAGATCCCAGGACCCAGAGACCACAACCCTGAGACCGCCACCACCACCACTGGAGCCGAAATCAAGAATTGGCCCGTTCAACCGACTGAGCCACCTAGGCGCCCCAAATATTAAATATATTCTTAAAGGAACAAATCATCCTATAACCTTTCATGGTTAGAGCAGAAAAGGGTGAAATAGAGCAGAAAAGGGTGGTTGTGGTCATAATGATCTTGAATCATCAAAAATGCATTTAACTAATTTCATTCATTTAGCCAACTAATATTTATTTGATTTTTTAAAAAAAATTTTCATTGTTATTATTATTTTTTAACTTAAATTCAATTAGCCAACATATAGTACATCGTTAGTTTCTGATGTAGTGCTCAGTGATTCATCAGTTGCGTATAACACCCAGTGCTCATCACATCACTTGACCTCCTTAATGCCCATCACGCAGTTACCCCATCCTCCCACCCAGCTAATGAATATTTATTAAGGAACCCCAAAATGCTATGTGCTGTACCAGGCCCTATCGGGTAGAGCCTCCCTAGGACTTCCTAGCCTGATACAAAATAGTTCGAATACTTCAAATGTGATATGATACATATTGTAATAGATCATAGAAGTAGGAGAAAAAGTACCTCGAAGGGATACTTAAGAGAAATTATAGTTGAATTAAGTGGGTATTAAAAGCTCAGAAAGAGGGACACCTGGGTGGCTCAGTCGTTAAGTGTCTGCCTTCGGCCCAGGTCATGGTCCCAGGGTCCTGGGATCGAGCCCCGCTTTGGGCTCCTGGCTCTGCAGGAAGCCTGCTTCTCCCTCTCCCAGTCCCCCAGCTTGTGTTCCCTCTCTCGCTGTCTCTCTCTCTGTCAAATAAATAATTAAAATCTTAAAAAATAAATAAAATAAAAGCTCAGAAAGTACTTGACTCTCTGGGGAAGAAAGCATTCTCAGTATTTATGGAGGGGTAAAAAGGCATAGCATGTTTGGGAAATTATGGAAAATCCAAGTATGTCCTGGGGATGACGTGGAAGAGAGAGAAGCCTACCAAAAAAAAAAGTGGGGCCTTGTAGGATTTGCTAAGAGATGTGTATTTGTTGAGGTTTTACTGTTATCTGGAGTTGGAATTTTTTGTTACAAGAAATTGGAAAAAAGAACATTATTACACAAGCTGAGGGACTCACAAAATCAGCAAGAGGCCGAAGATAAGATTTGGAAAACAGAAGAAAAGTAAGGAGCTCCCACAGGTCAAAAACCAGTACAATAGCTGTTTTTTAGTTAGCCTGGCAGGAGCCCACCTCCACCAGTACAGGCAGGGTGGTTCTGCAGGTTCCCTGAATAGATCTGAGTGTCCCAGGGTTTCAGTGTAACCACCTCCAGAGTCAATGCCCTGGTTAGGAGGATGCAATCTCTTTCCCCTTCAGTTTCCATAGTAAAAGACAGGGCACTGAGTCCTATCAAAACCACACACAATAGCAGATTCTCCCAAAATAGGAAAAGGAAGCTTGATAATTGACAACAAAAACAAAAAGCAATCCACAAAAACAATTCCAATAGTCAGCAATACCACCAATAACAAAAAAACTAATACAAGATTTTAAATAGGCAGTGACAAGATCAGACTTATTTGTTCAGCAGCAGATGGCTATAAAATGACTTAAATGATGTAAAAGCGGACACATTGAAAAATAATTCTCTTTCCTTCTTCTGATGCCCAGGTTGATATTTGCTCTCCCTAATGACATTTTACCATTTTCTTGCATAATCAAGAACTTATGTATATACTTCTATGTTTTTTATCATTTTGGTTGCTAGGTGGATGGAATATTGCTTTTTATATATTAATTTTATAGTCAGCTACTCTAATGAATTGTTTTATTGCTTATAATAGTTTCTCAGTTGATTCTCTTTGGCTGATCAATTTTCCTGGTGTGGCAGGCAAAATAATGACCCCCCCAAAAGGTGTTCATATCCTAATCCCTGGAACCTAGGACTCTTTTTTTTTTAAAGATTTTATTTATTTGACAGAGAGAGACACAGCGAGAGAGGGAACACAAGCAGAGGGAGTGGGAGAGGGAGAAGCAGGCTCCCCGC